GGAGGCAGTGGGGATTTTGGGCAAGAAACTACTGAAGAGGAAAAGGAAGGGGTAGACATGACTGTGGAAAACATGCCTTTGGGGGTGAAAGCAGATTCCAGTATCGATGTGCAGAAAATGTGCAATGAAACCAAAAGCAGCTCAACCACTCTAGTGACTGTTAATGGAATTGAAAATACAAATGTACTCATACTGCCTGTTGAAAGTTGACCAGTTTTTACAGTTCTTTAAAGTATATCAAGACAGGTCTAAGGTTCTCATTATATATATTATTGTGTGCACTATACAGATTGGATGCCCATTATGTATTTTGTAGGAAATTTATATTATGTCATGCAGTTAATTTTTCTGTTAAACAGCATTTCATTCACTGTAGTCATTATTGTCTTTGTGATGAACAATGTTACGTATCATGTAATATCCAGTTTGTGTTGTCTTGACGTAGCAAAGTGAAAGTATCAAAATTCCTTTTCAGAATTCTTCGATTATTGAACTTGTGGTTTTCCTGTCAGTAATTTTGTGTGTGGTGTATATAAATATATACACTTTTTATATTTTTTATGCATTGTCTCGTGAGATCACCTTCGTATCTCGGTATTTTATATAGTCCTCTGGCTCATGTTGATCATTTGTGGTCATGTAATTCAAGTTAGTTTATGTTACTTCAAATTTTATTTTTGTGCAAAACTTTAGTTCAGTTTCAAATATTTCGTAGACTTGTATTCCATACCTTAATTTTTATTCTCCTTGATATGAAATTTGTAATTACAGATGCAAGTCCTGACTCGTGTTGAATATTTTTTTTCTGTGTTACGGTAGGAATTTGGAAGGCTGTATATTTTTCTAGCTTTAAATTGATGTTGGCTTGCGCATATCTTTAAAGTTTTCTTTAACTCATATACTGCCATACTGCTTATTTATACAGGGAATACATGAAATTCTAGGATATTTAAAGTAAACTATACAAATAACACAAATGAGAATTGTGTATCAAAGACTTAATCCTGTGACTGTTATGGTGACTTTTGGCCATTGTAAAGATTGAAAGGGAAGCTAAAAGAGTAGCTGTGATGTCAATAGCAGGAGGAGAGGTAATTACAGTGTAAGATTTATTGATGTAGTATTATGCAGGATATATACTGTCGTACCACTAGATTTTTTAATAGCCATTACCTGCTGCTGTTGTTGTTTTTCTACACATGATTTGGCCTTGTAATTTATGGAATATCAGTGGCGCATAATAATGTTTATTGCATTTAATATCGCCATACTAAATTCTCCGCTCTCAACCCGTCTTATACACAGCCATAAAGAAATTAACTTGCTCGTTCTGTGAGGGGTTAAGTTTGTGAGACTTGTTCATGTTTTCTGTCCAGCTAAAAATCAGCAGTTACCATAAAGTAAATAGGATTGTAAAAAGTAAAATATTTGTTATAATAATGCCATGTGAATGTATGCAGTAGAAAAACAGTTTATGTAATCAGATTGGGCAAGCCTAGCTTCTTCAACTCTATTGGTTTGCTGGCATAGAAATAGTTAGTGTGTTTTGAGAATACATGTAATTAAATTAAATAAGAAGAGATGCAACATTGGTGAAAGAAAAATGCACTCGCAGACCCCACCAATGTACAGCTATAGTTAAGAGACTGCTGGAAGTTAGTGCTGGTATGTAGGTTTTCTGTTGGTTGACATATTTTTTTGGCATAGATGTATGTTGTGTCGGTTACTTTCATTCATATGAACATAACTGTGTCCTGTATTAACTTTCATAAAAGCATAAGTCCAGGTCAGTGGACATTTTTTTAATTATATCTTTTGTTTTTAGCAAAATATTGCTGATTTGAAGCATTCATATCTTTTCTCTGGTACATAATTTGTCCATGAATTGCATCAGATGTATGTGTAATGTTTGTGTCCACAAAAGGGTTGCATCCAGTACTGGATGAAAAAGCATAATAAAACACTATCTGCAATTATAACAGTAATAATATACAGCATTTTACTGTTGGCAATATGTGAGTGGTATGTACATAAGTCTTTTCATAAAAACTTGGTAGAAGTTGCCATTACTTTTAAACTGTTGATTCAGGATTGACCTATAAATTTGCTAATTTTTTGACGTAAGTACGTCTATAGGGAAGGGTCATTCGGTAAAAACAGCGTTAGGAAGATGTGTCATCTGTTCATTCAGCATTGTTGTGTTTCATTACTGCCATCAACAATCTGCATTCGTTATTGTGGAAAGAGCTGAGCTGTGAATCGCTTGTAGAAGTGCGTCATGGAGTAGATAATATTGTGCTGTTAAAAACGTTTTAGAATATCACAAGTACTTATCTTATACAAGAATTGTTATGAAATTTGTGATACCGCCTTCCACACTCTCCATTTTAGTTTTGATTAAATTGATCATTGCCGGTGGACATCGTGGTCTCTTACAATTGAACAAATTTTGAGGTAAGGGATTCCTATTTATTATTATTGTTCCTCACAATTAATATGTTTTCATGTGCATTTGTGAACTCGTGTAAGAGAATTAGGCTTCTTCTTTTGACGTAAATACGTCTATGCGGAAGGGTCATTCGGCTAAAACAGCGTTACGAAGATGTATAGGATCCAGCCCCGAGTCACCTTTAAACGTTCATTCCTCAGGAATGGTAAGAGTAAGGGTAATGTAACATATATATATTAAATGATCAGCAAAAAGGGACCTTTAAGAATCTGTAATGTAATTTATTGCAATTATAATTGTTTATACATTTATTGTAATTTTAATGAACCAATGTGTACAATTTTCAATGCATCTGGCGCGTTAAGCGCCCGCCTCTCGAAAACCGTAAGAGGTGGATCGGAACATATTGCGTACGAAATACGTATTACCTCTTGAGCTTTCCATATCTGTTTTCAGATTTTACATATCACAAATGGTTTAGGTTCTACAAACATTTATTTATACAAATAAAGGCGCATCGCACTTCAAGCTACTGCTGCGTTTGTGTGTAGCGAAATACTATGTAGAGATAAGAAGATGGATGGCATTGAAGCTAAAAGAGTCCGATGGTGATAATTTAAATACAAAGACGTATTTACGTAAGATTCTCGGGAACCGTGGTTCCACTGTCAATTTTTGCTTCTAGAACTTACTGGCTTCTTACACTGGGAGTGGCAAAGCAGCACAAGGTTTAATCTCATAAAAACAAACAAAGTCACGAGTATGAAAATTAGTGCATTTATGTACAAGTATTCTGATAGAACATTAGTTCATCCTGTTGTTATCCCATTGCTTATGCTTTGTAGGTTAATTTTTGTAGTTGCTGTAGTTTTTCCTCTAAGCAAAACCTTGATCCCAATTGATTGCATGATTCATCAGACATTGTTCCATACACGATCACAGTGCACATACAGTATTTACAAATGGATATGGCATGTCATGTCTTATGTCTCAGCACAGTTTTCCCTGTGTTTGGATTAAAAGATTTTCTATGCCTTTTCATTTGATGTGTATGAGATAGTTCAGACATCTTTAGGCTGTGTTTGAAATCGTTGGTTTGAAGCACTTTCAGAACATAATTCTGATTTTTCTAAAATACTGCATTGTGCAGCTTCAATTATATTGCATAGCATATAGCAAAGGCACGAGAAATTTGCACTTATGTGGACATAATTTATTGCCGCAACTCGAGAGAAATGCCGTTGCGAGCTGCAAGTAAATATGAGAGAGTAAGACACTGGTTTTTTGGTGATATGAAAACCCAGCCTGGAAGGGCAAAGTGTTATTGGAGAAATCTGACAGGGTTAGCATCCAAATTATTTTTCATCTTAAGGAAAGTAATTAATTTGTTACAGTTATACAAAATTTCTAAACGTTAAAATTTATTTTGTAACTATAAATATATTGATAATGTAATATAATTTAGGTGTTAATACTGATAGCAATTTTAAGAAATGCTGTGCAGCATACAAAAGGTATCTATATAGATTTGTTTGTGGGAATCTAAGAATGTTCTCAGAGCAGTTCATTGATGGAAAATGCTGCTTCTATAGAGTAATAGTCTGAATTAATATGGTTTATTTCTGTTAGTATAGACTGGAATGAAACCACAACAGCTTACAAAGTAACTGGCAGTGAACTGATCAAGCAAGAGTGTGATTCATGGCAGGGGCAGTGATTTTGTTTCTATTGCCATGTCCATTGTGTTTTTTCTTTCCCCCATAGAAAAATAGTTTCTCTGGCCTGTTAACAGTTCTGAAGGAGAAAATACTGTTTCACATACGTTTACTCAGCGGGTCAGCTATGATAGGTACATGATAGAGTCATTGAAATATGGATGATCACATCTTAAGGGTTGAAGATGTAAATATAAAATAATTATTTGCTTTATTATAAGAAAATACAAGACACATGGCAAAATATGGATTGTGTGTTTGGTGGTTTAGGCATGAGACATATTTCAAATTTGTGTTATATTTTTTTACATATTTTTATTTTGGGCTTTTAAAAGTGTGGGTTAACAACTGTTATGGTAGACAATTGATGTATTTATAGTTATATTTTTTCAAGCCTTCCAAATGCAGTTAACTTTAAGACAACTCACTATTATGACCATAATAATTGGTATTTTAGCACATTGTATTTAGTAATCCTGTCCTGTATAGGGACTCTTATGTTGACTCTTATTGTAGAATTGCTACAGATGGTATATTTGGTACATAAGCACTAATGTTTGTCCCTTTAGATAAATTCATATAGTTTTTCTTGAATTGAGAACATATAATAATGAAATTTATATTTGCAACAAACTGATTAGATAGTAACATTAGTTTTTTGTACAGTGGATTATACTAGTGTCATGGAGGTGAGTTCTTGGAAGAATTGCATTAAGCACTGTTTTAATTTTATAAATATTTTTATATGTTGTAAGTGTGGATGTCATGTTAATTTAATTATGAAGTCTGATAAATCCAGATTATGTTGATGGACAGGAGAGTACCATATATTTGCCATACAGCCCTACATTTTGAAGGAGTTTCTAGAAATCTCAGTTTTAAGAAGCATTGAGATGAACTGGCTACTAATGTCATGTTGGTCATTCTGATTCTCATGAAGGCCAGTCAGATATTATCAGTCATTAATTTGTGTAATTAGGTAAGTGTGCAGAAGTCAAACAAGTTGGATTACAAAATAAACAGGTTTCTGTTGGAACTGTAGATCCACAACATTTGAAGTCCTTTGACTTCACACAATAAATTAATCTCAAAGCCAGCATAGTGTTGATTGTTTTGAGATACTTTATGCACCAGCATGTATTTTAGCAATGAATAGAATGTGAAACATTTTGGAATTACACGAACAAAAAGACCAAAGGATTTTGTGTTGGAAAACATGAAGTGAAGAGACATATCAAAGATGGGCAGATAATATTAAAGTTAATATGAAAGGATTAGGGCATGAGAGAATGAACTGGATTTAGTTAGATCGTGAAAGGGATAATTGATAGGCTACTGTGAATATGGAAGTAAGACATGTTCCATGAAATATGACCAGTTGAGCAAATATAACGTTCTCAGCTACATGAAGTTACACCTCAGTTAATATTAGAAACAAAAATACAATTGACAGCATAGTATTTGAGCAAATGCACTCTTTTATATTGATGGGTTTTTTTTACATTTCATATCAAGAAGAGAGGCATAGCTTCACAAATTATATTTTTTACAAATATTGGGATGTGTGAAACAAAATTTGGCCCGAAGAACTACAAGACTTAAATTATATTAAACTTTATGTCTACATCCCTAATGTATGGCAGTGAAATTTTGACATTGGATGACAAAATTAGACTGAGTTGCTGAGATGAATTTTTGATAGCACATGGCAAGCTGCCTGTAAATGGTTATGAGTGATGATATAAACCCCCCAACAAACAGACCTGCATTGTAAGATGGCTGTCTTATGGTTTGCAGCATCATGAAAGCCTCATTGCCCTGATGATTGATGCAACAAGGACCTCTGAAACATTGGTAGACTACACAGTGCTAAAATCCAAAAGACAGCCGCTTTTGGACTCGCCACTGCATATACAAATCCTTCTTAGTCCCACAATGCTTATCATATGGCCTAGTTTAACCTTTTATCCAGGTTTATAGTAATACCATCTTGATAACCAGGCAGGCATATGCACCATCTAGTTTTGCCAACTGCAGTGAAAATTATTCTGTATTCATGTACATGCATAAATTATATTTTGTGCATTGGGTATTTTGCAGTACTGACGTAAGTTGAGTTTCTGTTTAATTTGTTTGGAGCAAAAGTATATTTTGTTAAAAAGTTACGCGATTGTAACTGGTATGAGTCTGAAGAAAAGTGCAGTGTGGATCTTAATAATCTGTATTCACCAAATGTTTGAACGATGACGTCAAGGAGAAGGGTAGGACATGTGGCAGACATGGGATGAGAATATTAAAGTAGGCCTTGGAGATCCACGGTATGAGATGATTGGATGTGTGTATCAAATGGCAGGACATTGTGTTATCTGTGGTTGTGAACCTCTGGGCTTCATCTTACCGCGAATTTCTTAATTAGACGACTATTAGCTTCTCAAGCAGTATTAAGGTCTATTTATAAGGGAACGTAAAGATAACGACACGAGCCAGAGAATAAAGCCTCTCCATTTATACATACACGTCGTGGAATCGGGACGAGGCCGAGCACAAAAAACTTCGACGAATCGAAGTCGTTCAGCTATGGCAGCTCAGTTTTAATTTTCCATTGAAGATTTAGCCATCGTGGCAATTTTTTTGGAAGAAGAGGATGGTAATAGAAGATGGGGTGTACATCCTGCGTGGCGAAATAGAAAAATTCACGGATAATTCATTATATATATAGAATTAATGGATCATGACCAAAAATGTTTTGAATATTTTAAGATGAGTAAATATTCATTTAATATTCTTCTAGAAAAAGTTCAACCCGTGATTGTAAAGGAAATACCAACTGGAAAGAAGCAATATCTCCAAGAGAACGTTTAGCGGTATGTATAAGGTAAGTTTAATGAATTAATTATTTTCATCAATTAACTTTATTTTTTAACATACAAATATTATTAACACAAAGGATTCTAAAAAAAGAAGTTTATTGAAAATGGTTAAAATATTCTTAAATGTTTGATTTGTTATCTGGAATTGATGATACTGATGATGAAGTCATATCTGCAGAATGAGGACGAGATGCCGTAGTTTCACTTCCTGGTGCATATGAATGTTCATTTTGTAACTGTCGTAGTTCTATCTCTTGAACTACAGAAAAAATTCTACCTTTCGCTACGTGTTGGTAGTAGGGAGAAAATTTTTTCATTGTGACCCCGATTGCCATTAGAAAAGCATCAAGCGAATCTTCAGTGTCTTTACGTGCAGTTTCATTCCTATTAATAATATATTTCATTAATAAAGACGATGGTGATTCGGTGGCCGCATAATTTCGTTTCAAATATTTTCGGGATTGCAATGATGTGGAATTTGTGTTTCCTGAGGATTGATGTGGAGTATCAGCTTGTTCTCTATCTTGGAGATCTCTATCCACAGCCTCTTCTTGTTCTTGATTGAAATTCAAATTTTCTCCCGGCGATGGAACATTTGATATTGTTTGCATTTCACTTATGTTCGGTAAAATAAATTGAAGTATATCTTCGTATTTATACTTCTTGTTATTTTGGGCAGCTTGACCGCTTTTAGTTGTCCGTTTCCTCAGGTTCCTCCTGAAATGATCCCTTATGTTAGTCCACCGACTTTTACACTGCGTACCTGAAAGAAAAGAGTATTCGTAACGATTTGTGGCTAACGTTTTTTTTATTTTTTTTAGGTATCTTGCAACAGGAGATTCTTTGAAAAGTATAGAATTCAACTATCATCTTGGACATGCTGCTGTACAAAAAAGTGTTCGAGAAACGTGTAGAGCAATAGTGTAGCAATTAATGCATGAAGTAATGTCCCTTCCTACTTTAGATGAATGGAAAATCATAACAGTGGAATTTTGGAAACGATGCGGGTTTCCAAATTGCCTGGGTGCAATAGACGGCAAACATGTCACCATTCAAGTCTCATCAAACAGTGGATCGACGTTTTGGAACTGGCCTTTGGCATTTTCTCCCAGAAATTCAGGATTTATAACAGAAGAATTCAGTCGTCTCCCGATAATATCGATTATATCATTTTGTCAACGTGTGTGTTTCATAATTTCATCAAGAAGTATTACGGTTACATCACACCTTCTGAAGAAACAGAATCTTCAACAGCGATGCCATCAAAGTTTCAAAATTTAAATTACCGAGGAGGAAACGCGACTCATCAGGCATTCTAAGTCAGAGAAAATTTCAAATCATTTTTGTCTTCACCAGAAGGTTCTTTTAATGTAATTGATTAATAAGTATTTAAGGGTCAGTGAAATTCAGTTAATTAATTTTAATGTTTGTTCTTAAAATTTAATAAATTCTTTACAACTATAAATACTACGTATTTTTTTACCTGTTGTACTTAATTCCTTTCCAATTTCATTCCAAATTGATTTTTTGAAGCTTGGATCCATGTATTTTGGGTGCGTCATGTCATACAAAACTTCATTTCGCCTTACCAATTCTATCAGTTTTTCGTCATCCATTTCAAAAATCAAGAATATTAACAATTCAAAAGAAAACACTGTAAATTATATAACACTTCACGTGAGAAGATCGTTGTCATACAACGAGACGTGGAAGTGAACTGAAAGAGATTTAGGAAAAATATCGTTGGAGACGTAA